ACTACGACTACTACTACTACTACTACTACTACTACTACGACTACGACTACGACTACGACTACTACTATTATTACTACGACTACTACTACGACTACGACTACGACTACTACTACTACTACTACTACTACTACTACTACTACGACTACTACGACTACTACGACAACTACGACTACTACGACTACTACTACTACTACTACTACTACTACTACTACTACTACCACTATTACTACTACTACCAACTACTACTATTACTATTACTATTACTACTACTACTACTACTACTACTACTACTACTACTACTACTGCTACTACTACTGCTACTACTACTACTACTACTACTACTACTACTACTAAAACTAATAATTATAATAATAATAATAATAATAGTCCTCCTCTTCCTCCTCTTCCTCCTCCCCCTCCTCATCATCATCATCATCATCATCATCATCCTGCTCCTCCCACTCCTCCTGGTCCTTCTCTTCCTCCTCCGCCTTGGCGCTTCGGGGCTTTCGGGAACGACCGCTGCCCAGAGCGGCCGCGGCGGGCCTTCTCTGCCACCGCCGCCTGCTCCTCCTCCGCCGCCTGCTCCTCCACAGCTTAGCTGCCCCGATACGTAAGGCGTTCTGACACTGAGGTCAACACGTACACTCAAAATGTGCAGCCTGGAGCGAGACGTTCGCCAAAGCGTTGACCAACGCGAGCCGTGCCAACACGCAGCGTGCTCACACGGACGTCTTCAACACGGGCACGCGGTTTCCCGATATGTCACGTTTACAGCACGGGTGGAAGAATCATGGATATGGGAAAGTCCTGCGCTCGCCAAGAAGCCCCAGGAGCTTGCAGTACAGCCTGGCCGCAGTCGATCCAGGGCAACCATCCCCAACGAATGTAGAAAACAGCGTCGTTTCACAATTATCACCACGGCCCCCTCCACGTATCATCCTTCTGTTATATTCCTTCGTCTCCCCGTCCTCCTCTTTCACCTCATCCTCGTCCTCAAAACCATCATCGCCATCATCACCATCATCATCATCATCATCATCATCATCATCATCATCATCATCATCATCATCATCTTTAGCATCACCATCATCATCCTCATCCGCACCATCAGCATCAGCATTATCATCATCATTAACAACACCATCATCATGACATGCATCATCATGATCATCAGCATCAGCATGATCAGCATCACCATCGTCACTATCATCGTCATCATCATTAGCAGCATGATCAGCATCAGCATTATAATCATTTGCGCCACCACCAACACCACCATCATCACCATCAGCGTCAACAGAATCGTCATCAACATCACCACCATCACCAATGTCATCCTCATCGTCCTCTTCATCCTCGTTTTGTGCATCCACCTGTTTGTCCTGAGGCCCTCTTTGAGGCCATATGAAACCATCCGATAGCCCAGATCTGGTCAGGCAAAAGCCCAAATTTTTCTGAAACCACATCACGCGCGTTATGTGGCTCGGTGGGTGAATGGGTTCGCTGGCACATAACATAACACAGTCGTGCCTGGCCGCTCGAATGTTTTTTCTGGGAGCAACGTTCCTGTTACTATTCTTGGTGCTGGTGTAGCGGAATGGCCTTGCAACTGCGATCGCCACGTGGCGCGTTGAAACCGCCATGCCCGCTCCCACCACGCGAGCTGATGCAACAACCTACGCGTACACCACATCACATGTGCACATCACAATGGCGTGGTGCATGGCAGTGCCCATGTGCACCCAGCGCATTTGTACACAACTGCGAACGCGCACGCCAAAACGCGTCTGCACAACAAAGCTGCGGCCACACAAGCACGTCCCGAATGCACCACAACGCCTGTGTACAACACGATCCGCGTGCACACCTCAGCAGCCGCGCGCAGCGCGGCGACTGGCGCCTGCGTGCGCCACACTGTATATGTGCACCACAGCCCGCGTCCACTTCGAGGGTCCCGACGACGCCCATGCACCGAAACTCGTGGTCGTGGGGGGGGGGCGCGCGAACGTACCAAATTGAGTATGCAAATTTGTTGTGGTTAGTGTTTTTTCGGCCGCCGGGATGCATCCCTGGCAAGTTTTTTGAACCGCTTGCAACCGAAGCGACGAAGATCTCTCCAGGGGGGAAGGGCCCTTGGCGCCTCGAGTTCGCTTGCGCCGCGGCTTCGTCCGGAAAGACCCTGGCCCAAAACGCCCCCGAGAGGGTTCCGACGCGGCTCAAAAAGGCACCAGGACCAGGACGGCCGAAGAAACGCCAAAGACTGCCTAAGGAGCTCCCAAGAGGCGGACCACCAACCGACAGTTTGAGCACTCCCCCCCAAGACGCCCCCAGGAGGCCCCAAACGGCGCCCAAGAAGCCATTGATGAGGTCCAAAATAAACCCAAGAGCGCGCCAACGAGGGCACCAAAAAGCTCAAATCCCTCCCTTCCCCCTTATTGCCCCCCGCATCTGCCTGTCGTCCTCGTCATCTTCGCCCTCGTCCTCGTCCTCGTCCTCGTCCTCGTTCTCGTCCTCCTCCTCCTCCTCCTCCTCCTCCTCCTCCTCTTCCTCCTCCTCCTCGTTTTCCTTTTCCTCCCCATCCCCCGTCCCCCTAGCGCCCAAGGTCGGCGGCACCAGCCGCAAATCCTTCCCAATAAACTGGTCACTGCGTGGTCACAAGGTGGCCACTGCGCCGTGGTCCGCGATGGTAGTACAGTGGCGGCGCACCGCAATCTCCGGAGCATCGCTCGCCACGTAGCAGCCCACGAGAAGGAACGAACTTTGCGCACCCCTGAGCCTGCGTACGAATGCACCTTTGTGCCTGTGTGCGCCGCCAGCATGTACATCACAGCGCCCGAGAGCACCACAAAGCCCGCGTACACCTCCAGGTGCCCGACGGTGTCAAACTTCAACCTCCAGGTGCCCGGCGCGCAGGTATCATATTCAGTTTGCAAGTTGTTTGTGACTGTTGTTTTTTCTGGCCACGGGCACGGCCCCTATCCCCGCTGCCTGCGCGCACAACAGTACCAATGTATACCACAATGCAAGACACCACCACGCCTGTGTGCAGCTTGACTGCCGCCGCAGCCGGCATGTGCGCTATGCACACCAATATGCTTGTCCCTTCAACTGTGAGTGCGCCGCCGCGCGTGTGGGTGCCACAACAGCCCGCGCGAAACACGCGCCTCGACATACCACAAGCACATGCCTGCGCACACTGCAAACACGTCGCGCGCACTACGAACAGCATACCTGCGCGCTAAGCAACAGGCGCTGCTGCACAGGGGTGGGTGGGACGGCGGGCGTTATGTTATCTACTGGGTGGGTGGGCGGGTGGGTTGGAGGCCACATAGCGCGCGTTATGTGCTCGAATACAAAAACTTGGGCTCCAATGTTCAGGATCTCGTCAGCAGCATCCCGAGGAATGTCGACTCTTGGACCAGAATGCTGAAGGCTCTGGAAGCTCATCAAATATGCTTGGGTCCCCTCCCACGTGGAAGATGTTGCTTCGGAGCTCGACCTCATCCGTGCCGTGGGCAACGAGTGTGCGGACGTTCTCGATGTTCTCGCGGGTCCGTCCGCGGAGCGAAGGTGGACCGATTCTCAGTAGGCTTCCAGCCCGAGACCGACCGTAGAGAAGCTGAGGCCGTTCTCATCCGACGTAGGGCGCGACGAGCTCTGGCGGAGAGTGTCCAAGCCGACCCTTGGACCGCCTCCCGCCCTGAGCGACCTCCACCGGCCCGCGTTCCCGTCCTGACCAAAGTTCTTCGAGCGAGCCCCCCTCTGTCAGTGGCGGAAAGTCGGCCCCATGTGCTTTTCTGCAGGATATGTTGCCAGTTCGAGGACTCGGGATTCGATTGGGGAAGGGGGCTCTCCCAGGATGTGCCCCCCCTCCCCATCCCCCCCCCGGCTGTCGATGGTTTCACTCCCCGTCGTGGACCTCAGAAGGTCTCGGGGAAGCTGCTGCATTCGTCCAATCGGTTCCAGTTCTGGGGGAGTACGGTTTGACGTGTTGTAAGTTCTGCGGCAAGACGGCCACCTCGGACCCACGTTGGCTCGTTGGGGAGGAGGTGCGTGCCCTGACCAAAAGGTTCCCAGAAACTTGTCCGCATTGGGGAAGGCCGACATCCTCATCCAGGCGGCCCACCCAAACACGTGGTCCAGGCCGAAATGTCTAAGTTGCAGGCCTAACTCGTCTGGTCTTGATCTTCCATATTGTTCGTGAGTCCAGCTGTCATTCACACCCAGCATTTCCAACATTCCTCCCTCCTCCTCCTCCTCCTCCTCCTCCTCCTCCTCCTCCTCCTCCTCCCCCTCCTCCTCCTGTTCCTCCTCCTCCTCCTCCACCTCCCTCCACCACCTCCCTCCTCTCCCCCCTCCTGCCTACTCCTTCTTTCATTCATCCCTCCTCGGTCCTCGAGGATCGAGGCTTCTGTGCAAGATTGGCCCTTTGGGGACCTCTGCGGGCCTCCGAGGGCCTCTAGGGACCTCCCTCCCGCCCTCCATCCCTCATCTTCCTCGTCCTTTTCCTGTTCCTCCTCCTCCTCCTCGTCCTCCTCCATTCCTTCTCCTTATGGATAACTCCTCCCTGTCGCACCCCGAGGCAAGTTTTAGGGCGGGCCGGGCGTTTCGCCTGAGACATCCTCACCATTTATGACCCTGAAGTTTTAAATGTGGCAACAGCTTCACAAATGGAGGGCGGGTGGTTGTCAAAATGTGGCTCTCGCCTTAGCGCCGCGCACATTCGCTTTAAACATTTGCAAGAACTTCACGGATTGAGGCCGGGTGGTTTTCAAAATGTGGTTCTCGCCTTTAGCGCCGCGCACATTCGCTTTAAACACTTGCAAGAACTTCACGAATTGAGGCCGGGTGGTCAAAATGTGGCTCTCGCCTTTAGCGCCGCGCACATTCGTTTTAAACATTTGCAAGGGTTTCACGGATTGAGGGCGGCTCCTTTTCAAAATGTGGCTCTCGCCTTAGCGCCGCGCACATTCTTTTTCAACATGTGCAAGAGCTTCACGGATTGAGGGCGGCTCCTATTCAAAGAGTGGCTCTCGCCTTAGCGCAGCGCACATTCGTTTAGAAAAAGATGCAAGAACTTCACGGATTGAGGGCGGCTCCTGTTCAAAATGTGGCTCTCGCATCAGCGCCGCACACATTCGTTTTGCAAGAATGTCACGGACTCCCATGATCAACGTATCAGAAATACTGTGTTGGAAGGATTCAGGATTATGCGGGTGCGACAATTATGTTGATTCGCGGTGTTGAAGTCCGAAGACGGCACTCTGGCGCGATTCCAGATCGTCAAGACGCAGCAGTCAGGTTGATACGTGGCGTTGAAATCCCGAGAACAATGCTTTGGCATTATTCAGGATCTTCAAACGGTTGTCCTTCCAACGAGGCAGTTCCCTCAATGGAAATAAACCACTGTGGAGGCCTATGAAGAGGGAGCTTGGAGGGAGGGTTCATTCCAACATCGTTGTTGACTCTTGGTGTTACACTGGACCTCCTCCTCCTCCTCCTCGTCAGTCCTGTCGATCAGCTGGGTCCCAGTGAAATTCCGCCGCTCCACCGCCTGGCAGGCCGCGGCAGTGGGGTGCAAGGTAGGCCACCACGGAAGAGGCAGGGGGAGAGAAAGAAGGACAGGGGGGGGGCGGGAGGAGGCCTAGAAGAAGACGAAGAGACAGAAATCGCACTGCAGCTCAGAAGCGGTCCAGCCAGGGGTGGGAGACACTAAGAATCCCAGCTTGCCTGCAGATGAAGTCCTCGAAATGCTCACCGCGGAGGGATCGAGGATCAAGATGTATTGACATGCTTGCTCTTCTCAAAACTCTTGAGGCCTCTGGGGACCCCTGGCGACCTCCAGGGATCTCCAGGAGCCTCCGCAGGGGTAGTAAGGAGAGGAGCATGACGATGACCTCATGTAAGGCTTTTCTTCTTTGGGGGTCCTCAAGAAAACCAGGACCCGAACCCTGGCCCCAGGAGCGCCGGCATTTCTCAACCTCTGCCTCCTCCCACTCCACTCCTCACCTTCCTCCCACCCATACTCGTCCTCCTCATCCACATCCTCCTCCCCTTCCAATCGCGTCCCCCTTCACCTCCCCCTTCTCCGCCTGCTCCTCCTTCTCCTCCTCCTTCTCCTCCTTCTCCTCCTCCTCCTCCACCAATCAAAGGTCTCAAGGAAATCGCCGGCGTAAAGTCGTCAAACCAGGATGGCATGATCGCATCAATAACAAACCCGGACGGCGATGACGAGACTTTCAGGAAAGGTACGGCCGATATGCTTGCCACATTTGACAAACAACTCGCCCAAAAGCCGCAGAGCGACGACGGGGTGATCAGCAGTACCGCAACTACAGCGGAGTCCAGCATGACAGGAAATTCGAGTGGCTGGATTCCCATGTGGAACATCTGGAGGCCATTTGCCAGATACGTTTTTACGTCAACGACGAGGCAGAAGTGCTGCTCCAGCGGGTGGCGATCGGTGAAGGGGCCCTGGGACACACAAATGAATACACACAAATAAAAAGATTCCCCATCTTTTCCTATATCTTCTGGGGGGGTGTCTTCCCCCCACTTCCCATAATGGATTCCCATAGTTTCCCTTATTTTCTGGGGAATCGACGATTAAGTGTGTCTGTGCGTTTCTTTTCCTCCTGAATCGGGGCGGCGGACACGCGAACTGGCCGGCGTGCAAGAGCAGCAGAAAAAGGGGGGGAGGGGGCGGCCGCGGAGCACCAGAGGAGGAGGGGGGCACTCGGACGCGGAGGACTTCCTCGTCAAGTGGGCCGCTGGCTGGACACGCACGTGGAGGACCACCGTGCCTGGGGCCACACGAGGGCCGCACGCTGGAAAAGCACGCGGCCGCTCTCGCCCGGGCCGGCCGCATCGTGCGGCTCCAGCTTCCTGATGCCACCACTCACGAGGAGCGAGCTTCACGGAGCCATGCTGGTTTTGCCACTGGCGACGCTTGTGCAATTCGCACCGAGCCCTACAGAGCCCCCCCCACTCTGGAACCCATCGTTCAGATTATCAGCGCGGAGTTAGCTCGCGCGCGTGCTGTCCGCGTCACGAGCCAAGTGTAGCGCGATCGTGCTGCAAATGCTTGACTGTACTGGGACCCTTAAACGTGACCCGGGGGCGGAGCCATCAAGCAGATGAGAAACGACAAGCGCAGCGACGCCGTGGGAGCCACAGCAGTACTACTCTCGAAGCAGGGGGAGCCATGGAAGAACACTTACTGCAGATGTCCAATGGTATGCTGACACCAAACCACAAACCACCCGACCAACGAAAAAGAGCGATTATCATTGTTACATACAAATCTGGCCGACCCCACACTATCACAAATCCTACTAGCTCTTCAGGGCGTGATTGGTTTAGGGAGTTTCCTCATCCATCTTAAGAAGCCCCCTGGAGTGGCCTCCTGGGGGGGGGCCTAAATGAATATGGCCCGTTCTTTGCTCGATCTCTTCCAAGATGGCCCCAAGATGGCCTCCGAGGCTCCCAAGGGTGCCCCAAGACGGCCTCAAGGGGCGTCCAGGAGGCCCCACGAGGCCCCCAAGAGGCTCCCAAGATGCCCCCAAGAGGCTCCCAAAAGACCCTCAAGACGCCCCAAGAGGCCCCCCAGAGGCACCTAAGACGCCCCAAGAGGCTTTGGCGAGAAAGCCCAAATCATTGAATGTACAATGGTTAGGACCACATTTTGGCATCCCGGGGGGGGGGACAAGTTGAATCCTTTTATCGATCTCCTCCAAGATGGACCCAAGATAGCCCATGAGGCTCCCAAGGGTGCCCTAAGACGGCCCCAACAGGTGCCCAGGAGACCTCAAAAGGCTCCCAAGAGGCGCCCAAGATGCGCCCAAGAGACCCCCAAGAGACCCCCAAGAGACTCCAAGGGGCCCCCAAAGGCACCCAAGACGCCCCAAGAGGACTCGGCGCGAAGGCCAAAATTGCTAATGACTCAGGTGTTAGCCACATTTGAGCTTGCTGGGGGGCCCCAAGACGGCCCCAAGAGGCCCCAGGAGGCCCCCAAGAGGCCCCCCAGAAGCGCCTAAAATGCCCCCAAGAGGCTCGAAAGAGACCCTCGAGAGGCCTCAAGTGGCCCCCCAGAAGCACCCAAGACGCCTCAAGAGGCCTCAGCGAGAAGGCCACAATTATTGATGTTACTAAGGTTTTGGCCACAGTTTGGCCTGTTGGGGGGGGCTCAAAGGAAGGACCTCCTCCCTTGATCGATCTCTTACAAGATTGCACCAAGATGGACCCCGAGGCTCCCAAGGGTGCCCCAAGACGGCCTCAAGGGGCGCCCAGGAGGCCCCACGAGGCCCCCAAGAGGCGCCCAAGATGCCCCCAAGAGGCTCCCAAAAGACCCTCAAGACGCCCCCAGAGGCCCCCCATAGACACCCAAGACGCCTGAAAAGGCCCCCCGAAACTGCCAAGAGACCTCCGAGAAGACCCGAGCGCACTCCAAGAAACTATCAAAGGAAATCCGAGGAGACTCCGAGAAGCATCCAAGAGGCTTCTGGCCTTTCTGCTCGCCCTCCTCCTCCTCCTCCTCCTCCTCCTCCTCCTCCTCCTCTCTCCTCCTCCTTTTCCTCCTCCTCCTCCTCCTCCTCCTCTTCCTCCTCCTCCTCCTCTTCCTCCTCCTCATCCTCCTCGTCCTCCTCCAGTCCCCCGCGGGCTCAGGAGATTCCTGCAGCAGGGTCTGGTGTCGGCGCTCGCCAGCAGCGGCCGTCGCCCACATCTCTTCCCCCCCAGGGACACCATCCCCAGCAATCTTAACATCCATGCATGTCTCTCCTATTGTTGTTTGTTCTGGTGGTGCGACTGGCAAGCATGTTCACCTGTTGTCTCGTGGGGTTACCTACATGGGGATCTAGAGAGATACAAGACATCAGCGAGGAATCCCACCAGCCCTTTTGGGCGCAGGTGGTCTAGAGCGTTCCCTTCGTTACCCATCCTACTTCCCCTTCGGGGAAGGGTTTATCGCTGTTCCCTATAAATAAACACCCCTCCCCCAGGCGACTGGTAGCCAACCCGAGACCATGCGCCCCCCCCCCCGTCGTCCCTTGTAAAAAAAGCCATACAAATTAGCCTGGCGAAGGACCCAACCATATGCAGTTGAGAGTACCGCAATTGTGAATATCTTCTTCGGTGGCGCTCCCTATGGGGCCACGAGCCGTATGAGGGGTGTGCCGAAATGCGTGGCAGTGTACACAACACGAACGAAGACGATAGGTCCGAATATGAAAGCTTGAGCGCGTGCGAGTCGGATCGCGAGCGAGTCTGATTATGAATGAATCTGCGCGCGATTGATTCTATTCGCATGAATGCGTGCATGGATACGCCCAGTGTAAATGTATGTATACGACTGTGAACAGTTTGGGTCTGCGTGACTCTCGGTACTCGTGACTCTGAGCGTCGCCTCTGCAGGGGGCTTCCCTGGGAACCCCGACGGCAGCGCCCGCGCGCCGCGACGCCCATGTCGGCACGCCACACACCTGGTGTGCGGGACGCATGCGGACGGCAGCACTGGGGCCTTCGGTGGAGCTCCCTGGGGCCACGAAACGTGTGAGGGGTGTGCCGAAATGGGTGTGCGGGACGCATGCGGACGGCAGCCATGGGGCCTTCGGTGGAGCTCCCTGTGGGGCCACGAAACGTGTGAGGGGTGTGCCGAAATGGGTGTGCGGGACGCATGCGGAGCGGGGCCTTCGGTGGAGCTCCCTGTGGGGCCACGAACGTGAGGGCCGAAATGGGTGTGCGGGACGCATGCGGACGGCAGCATGGGGCCTTCGGTGGAGCTCCCTGTGGGGCCACGAAACGTGTGAGGGGTGTGCCGAAATGGGTGTGCGGGACGCATGCGGACGGCAGCACTGGGGCCTTCGGTGGAGCTCCCTGTGGGGCCACGAAACGTGTGAGGGGTGTGCCGAAATGGGTGTGCGGGACGCATGCGGACGGCAGCCATGGGGCCTTCGGTGGAGCTCCCTATGGGGCCACGAAACGTGTGAGGGGTGTGCCGAAATGGGTGTGCGGGACGCATGCGGACGGCAGCACTGGGGCCTTCGGTGGAGCTCCCTATGGGGCCACGAAACGTGTGAGGGGTGTGCCGAAATGGGTGTGCGGGACGCATGCGGACGGCAGCACTGGGGCCTTCGGTGGAGCTCCCTGTGGGGCCACGAAACGTGTGAGGGGTGTGCCGAAATGGTGTGCGGTGCGCATGCGGACGGCAGCCATGGGGCCTTCGGTGGAGTTCCCTATGGGGCCACGAAGCGTGTGAGGGGTGTGCCGAAATGGGTGGGCGGGACGCATGCGGACGGCAGCAATGGGGCCTTCGGTGGAGCTCCCTATGGGGCCACGAAACGTGTGAGGGGTGTGCCGAAATGGGTGTGCGGGGCGCATGCGGACGGCAGCACTGGGGCCTTCGGTGGAGCTCCCTGTGGGGCCACGAAACGTGTGAGGGTGTGCCGAAATGGGTGTGCGGGACGCATGCGGACGGCAGCCATGGGGCCTTCGGTGGAGCTCCCTATGGGGCCACGAAACGTGTGAGGGGTGTGCCGAAATGGGTGTGCGGGACGC